CTGAGTGCCCACTTCAGTGATTCAAAACAACATATTTTTCAATACCTGTTGTTGTTGTATAACTTATACAACACCTGTTGTTGGCTTTTTGAAGAAGATGAATAATGTAAATAAGGATCTTGTAATACAGGAGCCTGTAGAATCAATTGCCTCTTGGTAATGAAGAGCAACAACAGCCCAACATGAAAGTGCCAGTAACTAAGGCCCCATTAGGTCTCAAAGAATTAATAAACCAGTTTTCATATGACTATGAAGTCTATGTTAGTGAAGAAATTCAAATGTAGGGTGATCCCACCTTATTTGAAGAAGCCGTGAGAAACATTTACTCATTTGAATGGCAAGAAGCTATAAAAGTTGAAATAAATTCGATGAATACCAACGATGTTTGGGACTTAGAAGAAATTTCTAATGGAGCCAAAACAGTAGGCTGTGAAAGGGTCTACAAGACAAAATATGACTCCAAAGGAAATATGGAAAGATATAAAGCATGACATGTAGCAAAAGGCTTTACGCATAGAGAATGAATAGATTACGATGAGAGTTTTCTCTCCAGTCTCATGCAAGGATTCTTTTAGAATCATAATGATGTTATTATCACATTACGATTTAAAGCTACATCAGATGGATGTAAAGACGACATTCCTCAATGAAAATTTGTATGAAAACGTTTGCATGGCACAACCCTAAGATTTTGTCGTGGAAGAAAAAGAACGTATGAGATGCCGACTGTAAAAATCTATTTATGGGTTAAAACAAGTCTCTAGATAGTAGTATTTGAAGTTGATGAAACGATAAGAAAGTTTGGGTTTAAAGAAAATAAGAAGGACAATAGCGTTTATGCGAAGTTCAAGAATGAAAAATTCTTTTTCCACATCATGTGTATAGATGGCATCCTACTCACTAGTAGTAATGTTAATCTGTCATTGGAGAAGAAGTCTTTGTCCTCAAGTTTCAATATGAATGATCTTGGTGAAGCCTCATTGATTTTAGGAATTGAAATTCACCGAGATAGATGAAAAGGGGTATTAGGATTATCGCAAAGGCATACTTAGAAAAGATTCTAAAGAAATAAAGTATGCATGCGAGTAAACCTACGCCTGCTCTATAGTCAAGGGTAATAGATTTAGGAACTTTTAGTGTTTTGGGAACCGATATGAGATCGATCAAATGAACATGGTTTCATATGCTTCGGCTGTTGGAAGCTTAATGAATGTACAAGTAAGAACTTACCCTAACGTAGCTTACCTATCCAGGATATTTTAGTAGAAGTCCAGTCCAGATATAGATCACTGGAATAAAGTTAAGAATATTTCATAATTTTTACAAAATATCATAGGCCTCATGCTGAGTAAGAAAGAACAAGTACTCTCAAACAGTTGTGGGTACAAATGTTAAGTTTTAGCGAGATGTGTAGTGAAATCCACAGTAGTTGCTAACACTCGTAGTTAGAGTATTACTGTGGAAAAGCTTGAGTGAATCAGTTGTGGTGTCATCAATGATGCATACTATAGTATAGCTTGTCATGAGGTCTCAAAAACAGGCAAAAGTGGTTAAAGAAATATGTACCCAGATTTAACAATGGTAGTCAACATCAATAACCATTTAATATAGTTAACTCCTAAGACAACAGATCAAGTGTGCTGCCAAACACATTGACATTAAGTTATATGTTGTAAAGGAGAAAATCCAGAATCATTTTGAAAGCATTGAGCATATAAGCACTAAGCAAGTACTTGCGGATCCGCTTACCAAAGGCTAACCACCCAATGCGTTCAGAGAACACACAGTCGACATGGGTTTACGGAAAAGCCTATGATTTTTGGATACTAAGGGCCTAGTTGAGAATCTGTTTCAAAACAGAGAGGTGCATTGTAGCTGTATAATCTAATGGCAACTGACCATGACGATAAGGCACGCTCTATGCACACATCTGCGATGGAATGGGAAAAAGAAAAACTAAGTTAAGTTTAAGTCATAAGGTGAGATCAAGAGGGAGAATATTACATTGATCTCCACCAGTTAGCCCAACGGCTAATTGGACCCTTAATCCGCGCCCTGATCGGGGGCGCCCAGCCGTTCTCCTGGCTGATGGCCCCCCGTCGCACAGCGCTATAAAGAGGAAGGTGGGGGCCGGGACGCAAGACATGAGGTTCACCGTAGCCGTCAGCGCCCCACCGATTTTCCTATCCTAAGCCGATCTAGAGGGCGCGCTGTAAGCGACGGGAAGCGTCATCGCCGCCACTGGACCGCGCCTGCACGGCATCCCCGACTCCGACCCCAGTGGCCACATCGCTGCGGCGCCATGGCCGCGACAGCGTTTGGCGACCCAAGTCTTCTATCTAAACTAAGTATTACCTATCGATCTATGTCTAGAAGTACTTTCAGACTTTTCAAGTATATGACAAAGGGTTAGGCATCATAAACAGATGCATGAATATGATTAGTAGCCCACCGGCAGTTTGGAGGAACAATCAATCGCTCACCGTTCACCGCTGGTCTGGAAAATTCTTTGTTAGCATGTGAAAGCACGAGAGACAAATAACCTCTCCTGCTTGTCCTTTTCATTGCAGCATGCAAATTAAATGAAAATCGATCAGCTGGCAATGGAATGGAACGTGCTAGTAGCACCCTGCTCCGGTTAATAGCTGCACATCAGGAACTCATAGGACAGAGGGAGAACGAATTAAACAAGAACAATCATGGTAGGCGACATGTTTATTTATACCCCGTTCTTTTAGTTTATAAGTCGACTGATGTTATTTTGTTGTGAGAGAAAAACATTATATCATGACTAATAAGCATAATTAATACGATCAAGTGATCATGGTGTTAATTTTTACCTCTCGTGCTTTGGGCAATCATTGTGGCAGCGGCTTCCGTGGCTCTCCGCTCTCCATGATTTGGGAGGTTTATATACTAGTATATGTTTTATCTTTGTTTATTTATTAGTTGATTAATCCTACTTGCTGACTACCATCGCACTGGAGGCGAGCAGAGTAGGGAGAAGGTGGCGTCGCATCGCATTCCTATGTCTGTCTGGAGAATTCTTTCCCTCCAGTGTTCTGTTTACGAGAACAAAACGTCACTGCTCTGCACTGGTGTACGATGTGAAGTGCAGATCGCCGGTGGTTAAAAAGAGAAACAGATCTTCTAGTCTAGTACCTCGGTCGTCCGCACACTTTCGCAAACTAACGTGTCAACTGCTCTGTTCACCCAACAGTTGCTTGCCGACTAGGACTAGTTCTTACTGTGCCAGTAATGCAAGCTACTACTCTCGTTGGTTTTGCACGCACGCACCCATCAACTTTCTGATTTGCCGGCCACGATGCCCAAACCAATTCGTTTTTCCCCTCAGACCAGTGACGTCGTAGTCACGGCGACAAGTTGGCAGCCCAATGCCAGCAATTATTGGTGGGCCCGCCCGGCCCCACCCGCCTCCTAATTATAGGCGGCTTTGATTGAACGGAACCGGTCCACGGGTAGGAGCGAATATCTCGAGCTCCGGACGGAGATTCCCAGCCAAGCGCACGCCAACAAAGCAACCGAGGAGAGGTCCCGACTGCTGCCTGCCTGCCTACCGCACACAAGAGTCGAGCCACCGCAGCTGCCGCGCCACTCATCACACGGTCCACACCCACCGCAACAGCTCCGCATCTGGATCTCAGCCTCATCGCCGTCGTGAGCGCCCACCGTCTGCCGGCCTGCAGCACCGACTCCTGCCACCATCTTCGCCTTCATCGGCATCTTCTTCCTGTGGCAGCAGCAAGGGAAGGGAAGGAACTCCGTCCCGGTCCCGGCTCGCGTCTTCTCTCCCGAGTCGAGTCCTCACCGGATCTGGTACGTACTGCTCCTCGCTTCCGTATCATACATACCACGCCGTGCTCCTCAATTCCGTTTTCAATTTTAATAACTCGACTTGACTCGATCCGTGGTCTACGCTTTCCTACTGTTTGTTTAGATTTATGGCAACTGTTTTGAATTTTAATAACTCGACTTAGACCTTCGCTCGATCCATGTTCCACACTTCCGTATGTTTTGTTTAGATTCATAGAACAAATGAGATTTTTTTTTTGACGGGGTGAGTAGTGTATGTTCGTAGCAATTTAGAGGAGGAGAACAACATGCTGTTGTGCGTGGGATGTTTAGTGTTTATTATCCACCACTTTAGTTGTTTGTTTAGAATGGTGTTTAATTTCTTAAGTTCTAATGCACTGTCCACGATTAAATATAAACAGCTGATGAGAAATTGAATTCGATGATGCAGCGGTACTATTTTAGTACATAAGATTAGACTAAGGATCCCATGCCATGGCTTTCGTGCTTCTATTTTTGTTGTCGTCTCTTCTCAAATGTTCTGATTTTGTGGGAGTAAGAATTTTTTAATCAAAAACCATCGAGGCCACATCCTGTTTTGTAGTCTGCAGTTTTTAGCATGAGTCAACCCTCCGAATCTAGTTTCAGAGGTGGAAGAATTTCGCTGTTGCTAGTTCTGTTCAAAAGACCTGATTAGTCAAGTTCTTAACGTCAGCTGAACTGACTTGTGCATCCATGCAAAAATATCTGTTCATTTGCTTCCAACTTCCAATTGTGCTTGATTTCTTTTTATTAACGATTTATATATACTTCTGTGAGCTTACGACTGATATATTTTTTCTTTCACATTTTGGCAGTACTGGGATTTCAATAAGGAAGAGGAAACACCTTAGGGAATGCAGAAAGATGTGCTTCCATGTTGAAGAGCTACCTTGTGAGGGACTTGGCAGGGTAGCACACCATATTCTTTCTTTGCCAGCTCTTGATGACCTTGCAGCTCAAGAGTACACGCATCTTCTCCTCCTTGTGCTTCCGCACAATGGGGTTCGACGTGGCGGCTCAACCGTCTACTTAGATCACCATCTGGGAGGAGACGGTTGAAGTATTCACTCTCAGCCTCTTTGCTAGTTTGATTTTCAGTCAGGGATAAGTAAGCACTCTTTGTGTGCATAGCATACAACGGCACGATGGTGGAACATAAAGGAAATGTTCTCATGCACAAGTATGAGATGGGGAAATTGCTTGGTCAAGGGACCTTTGCCAAGGTTTATCATGCTCGCAACACTAAGACTTCAGAAAGTGTCGCGATCAAGGTGATTGACAAGGAGAAGGTTATGAAAGTTGGGCTCATTGATCAAATTAAGCGAGAAATTTCTGTGATGAATCTTGTCAGACATCCCAATATTGTGCAACTCTATGAGGTCATGGCTACCAAAACCAAAATATACTTTGTGTTGGAGCATGTTAAAGGTGGAGAGCTCTTTAATAAAGTGCAGCGAGGAAGGCTCAAGGAAGATGCAGCGAGGAAGTACTTTCAACAGCTGATTTGCGCAGTGGACTTCTGTCACAGCAGGGGTGTCTATCATCGAGATTTGAAGCCAGAAAATCTTTTGCTCGATGAGAATAGCAACCTAAAGGTATCGGATTTTGGTCTAAGTGCACTTGTTGAATGCCAGAGACAAGATGGCCTGCTCCACACAACCTGTGGCACGCCTGCTTATGTTGCTCCAGAGGTGATTAACAGAAAGGGTTATGATGGTGCAAAGGCCGACATATGGTCCTGTGGGGTCATCCTTTTTGTGCTATTGGCTGGTTATCTTCCATTCCATGACAAGAACTTAATGGACATGTATAAAAAGATTGGAAAAGCAGACTTCAAATGCCCGTGTTGGTTTTCTACCGATATTCGGAGGCTTTTGCTAAGGATTCTTGATCCCAACCCCGGTACAAGGATCTCAATGGAAAAAATCATGCAAAATCCATGGTTTAGGAAGGGCTTAGATGCAAAGCTACTTAGGTATAATTTACAGACAAAGAAAGCCCCTCAATTGGACAAGAATGCAGATTTTGATTCACTGAGCACCAACATAACATCAGAGAGCAAGCAACAAGAAGAAAAGAAGCCTACCAACATGAATGCATTTGATATAATATCTCTATCAACTGGTTTGGACCTCTCTGGTTTATTTGAAGAATCTGACAAGAAGATAGAATCCAAATTCACGTCCACCAACACTAGCTCAACAATCATATCGAAGATCGAAGATGTTGCGAAGAATTTGCGATTGAAGGTGACAAAAAAGGATGGTGGTTTGTTAAAAATGGAAGCTTCAAAGCCTGGAAGGAAAGGGGTGATGGGTATCGATGCTGAGATATTTGAGGTTAGCCCAAACTTTCATCTTGTGGAGATAAAGAAGACGAACGGCGACACTCTAGAGTATCAGAAGGTCCTGAACCAAGAAATGAGGCCTGCACTAAAGGACATAATATGGGATTGGCAAGGTGAGCAATCAAAGCAGCAACAAACTATGAGCTAGTGCAACGTTTTTATTAGGCAATTTCCAATCTTTCATGTATTTGTGTAGTTCTCACTTTTTCATTATTCATTTTGGTTCCCCTTGTATTATCAACATAAACTTATGTTATCGTCCAAGGACAAATTTATTTTAAAGTCATGTTTATGCTATTATAAGAGTTTGCTTTAGTGTTGTTCTTCTCCATGATTGAATCCTTGCTTGTTGTGATTTTCAACTCCAGAAGGTATTTGCTATAAATGTTATCTTGGATATACCTAAGAAGACATGCCTTTTATTTATACTAAGGTTTGGACGTTTGGTATATATAACAAAGTTGTGTTGGCGTGGCCTAAGATGATTGAAAGATTTCCTCTCTATACGATGCTTTTTTAGGTGGCTCTATGCACCATGCTATTTCAGGCGTCGTTTGAGCAATATACTATGTCACAGGTTGTAGATAGCATACAAGTTTGGGGGTAGAGTTATATGTTTATCAAGTAGATAAAATAAAGTGCATGTTATTGATCGGTAGAGTTTATTTTCCGGTGCAAACGCACCTGTGTTAGATCCATGTATCACTGTTGTTGTTTTTCTATGAGAGTTTATAACCTTTTCGGACAACATTGTTAAAATAACTGATATGTGATGAATCTTAACAGCCAAGAAATAATAAATGGCATACTAAGTTTATTTTGCACCGCAAACGCATCTTTGGCTAGTTTCATACATTGTCTTTTTTATGTTGGAGTCTTACCAAACTGTCGATATTGTTGAAATGAAGTAGTTCATTCGCATTTGTATGCTCTAGCTCTAACAATTGGCGTTAAAAGCAAGCTTTACTCTTTCAAAGATCAAATAAAAGTTTTTTTTTAAATAAAGAAAAAAGAGAAGCTAACTACGACTCATATTTTTCTTTATGCGATGAGGAAAACACGGTTCACAATTGGAGAATGTAAAAAACATATGACGCAATAGATCCATCATCATTAGTTATGTCTTAAATTAATCTTCAACAAGAAAAAAAATAAGTAAATTTACTAGGGAAAACCGTGGTTGTTAAACTGTATGGAATCATAGGCAGCAAGCACAACCATTTTAAATTCTATTATGATTATTTTACATGCATGATTGCTTAGCAAAGCCATGATTTGGTGGTTGTTTTGCTTTGCTTTGCTGTGGGCAGGACCAGGACGCTTTGCCAACCTAACCTGGCCTAAGCATAATTCCATTGATGCGGTATAGCTTGATCATGTATTTTTTTCCCTAGTTTCTTGTGATCATAGTATGAAATAAACTGGTTTTTAGAATCTTTTTAAGAGATTTCTACGAAATTTATGCGTTCTAAAGGAGCACGAGATGCCGTGAACTGGAATGGATGCATGGAGGGGACATGGGAGCTTGGCTGCCGACCTCTGCATTCATCGGTGAACCAGTGGGCTGGGGAGTGGGGAGGCTCAGCTTCCTGAGACTGCTTGTTCTCTTGCGATGATTGCAGGCCCCGTCGCTTTCATTTATGGAGATGCTTCGGACGCGTAGGCTTTGTTTCGTGAACCACTGGCCTACTCTACTGATCATGCAGGGAACGTGTCTCCTTCAGCTGATAGCTGGGCGTGTGACATAATTCATTAGTGTCAATTATCCCAAGCTAAATTCTTGCGGTTTATTTGCAGGATGGGTGGGAAATTCTAGGTGTTGGAGTTTCAGATAGAAAGCGGGTGGCAGCTTAAATGAACACTCTATGGCACTATGCTAGTTGCTAGCTGCCAATAACGTGTGATCCGTCATTTTCCACAGTTTCAACTTCTCTGCTTCTGACGAGATCACGAGAGTGGTCAGGGATTTGTTTACTGAAGCTGTGCACTCATAAGCTGATGATATGATATGCGTGCCATTAGTGGTGTCAATTGTCTAACTAAACTCTTGCAGTAATAACTATATAGGTCTACAAAATACAGCTGTTCAATCACTGACGACTCGGGTTTGTGGAAATCCGTTTCTATAAATATTTTAGTTGAGTTTCAGATGGAAAGATGGTGCAGGTTAAGTGAACGTAGCAGCAACAGGAACGTGGAATCCACCGCTTTGCGCTGCGTGATGTCAATTGCATGCATCATTAGTTCAGAGTGATGTCAACTGCATTTGCATGCATCATCCGAGACGACAACACGCATAGGCACAGCCAGCCCAAGGCCGTCACGTGGGCTCTATGGGCTGGGCCGCTCCTCTGCCCGTGGCCAAGACTCCCGTGTCGACTAAACTTGTTACGGCAGTCCTCTGGGCTTAAGATTCTCTTGGTTCCATCATGACAGCTTTAAGCTGGCCCAATTGGCCTGCGCATTTTCCTGTGTTTCCGTGTTCCAGTAAAATTCTTGGTAAAATCCATGTGTTCGAAAGAGGCCTGAGATGCGGTGGTGAACTGGAATGGAATCAAGCAGTGGATGGAGGCTCAGTTTTCTGAAACTTTGTTCTCATGCGATGATTGCAGTCTCCGTAGCTTTCAGTTTCAGCTGCTGCCGTGCATTGCATGCATCATCAGTTCAGAGTGATTTGGGTGATGCGGGCCGGGGCGGGCCAGCAGGTCTGCGGCCTTATCGTGCCGGAAGAGTTGGTTGGCATAATGGCATGTCCATGCTACAGGGCTGTCTGGAGCTGCACACTTACGGAGGAGACAGCCAGCCAACTGGAACCCTGTGGATTTTTTTTAAGCCTCTCATCTGGGATACCGTTGTAGTATCTTGTACATGCACGAACTCACACCCACGCTACACCACACACAGATCGGTATCCTCGAGGTGAGGGCCCTGGGTGGAGTCGATTCCTGAGAATCGAACCCAGACCAGCCGCTCGTACCACCACAAACGAGCCAACCGAGCTATGCTCGGTCCTCACCGTGGAAATTGTTGGCAACACAGGCAGGGCGCAGCCAGCCAATACGAGAGGCGCGGGACGACACACGCAAAGGCGCAGCTAGCCTAAGGCCGTCACATGGGCTTTGCCACTTCCTTTATTCTCCATGGGCCTAGGCCGCTCCTCTGCCCGTTCCCAAGACTCCGGGTCGACTAAACTGTTATTGTGACCTTGTCACGGGCTGACTTCTGGGCTTAAGATTCTCTTGGTTCCATCATGTTAGCTTTCAATATAAGCTGGCCCAAATCGGCCTGATGATTTTTTTGATCTAAAACGATTCTCTTCGTTAACGGGATGTCGAGTCGTGGCCTTATCCAGCCACCATTTTTTTAAAAAACAATATGCATAGAAAAACGATAATGCTTGGCCACGGGCCTCCATTCCGTCCGGATGCCACGTGCCTCACTCTGGCTGCTGCTGCCGCTTCTCCCACCGCGCGCCGCCCGCTCCGCTCCTACGCCTCGGCCATCGTGCCCCACCCGCAACGCTCGCTCCTCACTCCTCGCTCCCGCCCATCACGCGCTCCACCCACACCGCTAGCTCTCGCTCGCCGACCACGCCACGCCTCCTCCCTCCCATAGATGGCCAAGCCCTTGCTCGAGCCGAGGCAAGGGCGGTGGTGGTGGTGGTGGTGCTCAGCACTGCTGCCACTGTCTTGGTGTTGGTGATGCCATCGTGCTTGTGGCGCCATTGGTGATGCCACCGCTGGATCCCACCGCGACGACCTGAATTGACCAGCCTCAACCTCCCATCTCTATGTTGCAAACATATGTTTCAAATGTATGTTTCTATCGTTTCATCTGGATTTTGCAAAAGTAGATTGTGATGTTGCACATGTTGCAATGGTTATACACGTATGTTACATGTGTATGTTCTAAATATTTAAGCTTATTTGCAGACGTGTGTTGCAAAAGTAGATCTGAATGTTGCATATGTTGCAATGACATGTTTCAAACGATATACTGCATATATTGCAATGGTAAGGCTAATGTTGTAGAGGAGATGAGATAAGACGGTAGCAAAATGCGGTGGATGAAGGGGCACGAGACCGAGCGTGGTGGGGGAAGGGGCATGTAGGAGGACAGGGCGCGGCTGGGACGAGGATGCTACAGGTGACGCGGGCGCGGCGAGGATGAGACCCTGTGTGGTGATGCACGCGCCGCAGAATAAGACCATGCATGGTGATGCGGGGCCCGCGGGCGTTCTCCGCTGTTACATGGGCGCGACGGATGCGCTTTCTATTACACCGAGGACTAGACAGGGCGTGTGCGGGTGCATCGAACAAAAGCTAGATCCAGACGCGGGCCTAGGGCCGGACGTCCGGGTGCTAGGCTTGCCGATAGAAAATCCATTCGATCCCTATCAATGTTTGTTTTCCTACTTTTTCCCAAATTATAAAGACACTCATTTATGCATGCATACTCATCCCATTTAAACACGCACACGTATTACCAATATGAGCATCTTCGAAAGACTAAGACTGAGTTGGCTTTCTCATTATCGATCGACATGTCATTTATTCAAAGAACAACGTGGTTAAATTCTAGAATAAATTTAGAAAAATGCAAGCACCCGCATCAATTTGAGAATTTAAATTCGGTTGGAAAAATTTTCACTATAAGAAATGTAACAAACTGGCTACGCTCATTTCACGTTTGATCTTCCTACTCGTTATGCAAACTAGATATTCTACACCCTAAAGTCCTAAACGACTTAATGTATCAAACAAATTATTCCTTTAACTAGTTTGGAAGGTGGTTTTAGTCTACATGACGCAACATCAGTTGTCCTATGTGACCCTACGTCAGCTCTGATGGGTTAAATTGAACTACATTCATAACTAGAGGGTCAAATATTCTCTACCAAAAAAAATATAAATAAGTTTTTTTTTTTCAAAACATGCCCCAATATGTTTTCAAATAACTTCAAAACATAATTCTAATAGCTAACGAGAGCATTTACTAGGAACTATTTGGATAACTTTTTCAAGTATTTTCCAAGGTTAATCTAGATTTTATGATTTTAAGTGCATAACTTATCCAGACAATATTGTTTTTGAAATATTTGTTCAATCTTTCATGTAAAGTCTATTTGACCCCAAACTATCATTATAG